TCTCATTGACTCACAACAAAGTAACATACTGTAAAGTGAAATCAAAATGATACATAGTTTTGTTAATTAGAAAAATAAACAAAATCCCCTGGAAGGTGGAGTTTCTTTATAAATATCTTTGTAAATATTTCTTCTGACGGCTGAATGCTCATTAAATCCACATTAGTGTAATTTTCTCTCAGTATATTTACACCTGTTCTGTGACGCTTCAGAGCTTTCAAGTGTATTGGTCATTAAGCTACATCAACATGTCCAAGGAGCACAGCTGGAGAGGTCAGGGATGATGATTTTCATCTGTATGTATTATTTTATGGGTTAGAGTTAGGGTTAGGGACAGGGTGTATTCATGGGTTAGTCAGGTGTACAGCAGATACATCAGAGTATAGTTTATTTCCATCTGTAGTCCCACAGTCATACTCACAAACTCAACACTCACTCACATGTTTTTAGTGGTAGGGGAAACCGGAGTACCCAGAGGAAACCTGTGCGGCACGGTGGCTGAGTGGATAGCACTCTCGCCTCTCAGCAAGAAGGTCCTGGGTTCAAATCCCGGTTGGACCAGGGCCTTTCTGAGTGGAGTTTGCATGTTCTCCCCGTGTCTGCGTAGGTTTCCTCCGGGTGCTCCGGTTTCCCCTACCACTAAAAATATGTACAATAGGTATGGCATGTGCCTCCTGTACTGGCACTCCCAAAAAAATAACAATTGTAAACCGCTTTGAGACTCCGATGTGTAGTGAAAAGGCGGTATATAAATAAAAGCTTACTAAAAAGCTTACTTACTGTGCAGACACGGGGAGAATATGCTCCTCACAGAAAAGTCCTGGAGGTGGAATCGAACCCAGAACCTTCTAGCTATGAAGCACAAGTACTATCCACTTCACCACTGTGCCACACATCTGGGAATGGAAAGAGTATGGCTCAACTGCAAATCTACCAAGAATCAGCAGCGGGCCCAAACTCACATCTTGAACATGGACAACGCTGATCACAGATGCAGACACGAGGCCAGTGGTAACTCTGGAGGAGCTGCAAACATCTACTGCTCACTGGGGAGTCCTTACATGGTGCAGTGGTGAATACAGTGCCTTGCGAAAGTAACCTTTGAACATTTCGCCACATTTCAGGCTTCAAACATAAAGATATATATATATATATATATATATATATATATATATATTATATATATATATATATATATATATATTTTTTTTTGTCATGAATCATCAACAAATGGGACACAATTGTGAAGTGGAACAAAATTTATTGGATAATTTAAACTTTTTTAACAAATAAAAAACTGAAAAGTGGGGCGTGCAATATTATTCAGCCCCTTTACTTTCAGTGCAGCAAACTCACACCAGAAGTTCAGTGAGGATCTTTGAATGATCCAATGTTGTCCTAAATGACTGATGATGATAAATAGAATGCACCTGTGTGTAATCAAGTCTCCGTATAAATGCACCTGCTCTTTGATAGTCTCAGGGTTCTGTTTAAAGCGCAGAGAGAACCATGAAGACAAAGGAACACACCAGGCAGGTCCGAGATACTGTTGTGGAGAAGTTTAAAGCCGGATTTGGATACAAAAAGATTTCCCAAGCTTTAAACATCTCAAGGAGCACTGTGCAAGCAATTATATTGAAATGGAAGGAGTATCAGACCACTGCAAATCTACCAAGACCCGGCCGTCCCTCCAAACTTTCATCTCAAACAAGGAGAAGACTGATCAGAGATGTAGCCAAGAGGCCCATGATCACTCTGGATGAACTGCAGATAACTACAGCTGAGGTGGGAGAGTCTGTCCATAGGACAACAATCAGTCGTGCACTGCACAAATCGGGCCTTTATGGAAGAGTGGCAAGAAGAAAGCCGTTTCATAAAAAGTCTCGTTTAAAGTTTGCCACAAGCCACCTGGGAGACACACCAAACATGTGGAAGAAGGTGCTCTGGTCAGATGAAACCAAAATCAAACTTTTTGGCCACAATGCAAAACGATATGTTTGGCGTAAAAGCAACACAGCTCATCACCCTGAACACACCATCCCCACTGTCAAACATGGTGGTGGCAGCATCATGGTTTGGGCCTGCTTTTCTTCAGTGGGGACAGGGAAGATGGCTAAAATTGATGGGAAGATGGATGGAGCCAAATACAGGACCATCCTGGAAGAAAACCTGTTGGAGTCTGCAAAAGACCTGAGACTGGGACGGAGATTTATCTTCCAACAGGACAATGATCCAAAACATAAAGCCAAATCTACAATGGAATGGTTCACAAATAGATGTATCCAGGTGTTAGAATGGCCAAGTCAAAGTCCAGACCTGAATCCAATCGAGAATCTGTGGAAAGAGCTGAAGACTGCTGTTCACAAACCTCCATCCAACCTCACTGAGCTCGACCTGTTTTGCAAGGAAGAATGGCCAAGAATTCCAGTCTCTCGATGTGGAAAACTGATGGAGACATACCCCAAGCGACTTGCAGCTGTAATTGCAGCAAAAGGTGGCGCTACAAAGTATTAGCGCAAGCGGGCCGAATAATATTGCACGCCCCACTTTTCAGTTTTTTATTTGTTAAAAAAGTTTAAATTATCCAATAAATTTCGTTCCACTTCACGATTGTGTCCTACTTGTTGTTGATTCTTGACAAAAAAATGTTTTTTTAATATCTTTATGTTTGAAGCCTGAAATGTGGCGAAATGTTGAAAGGTTCAAGGGGGCCACTGTACAAAGCCAGTGTTGAAATAAAGCCAAAGCAGGGTACATGTGGACGAAGGAGCTGTGATCAGATGAGATCAAAGTATAACAAAATAGAATCTTTGTTTGTGGTTGTAACATGACAAAAGTTCACGCGGCTGTAACACTGCTTTATCATATTGTGGCAAGACACCAGAGGCACCTATAAATTCCATCTAAACTTCTCATAGCCAAACATCAGCCTCCTGCTACACTCAATCCTTGTTCAGTCCCAGATTAGAAAGGCCATTTGAAGCAGGACTTGTTGACAAAAAGACACCAAACATTTAGAGAGGCGGCTGCACCCTTCTTGGCCTGAGAGAAGTGGGGATGACATCACAGGAAAAAGCGGTAATTCTGTGTTTACTCCGGCTATTTCAGGTCCACTACATTTCGGTGGATTTAAGAACACTTGTGAAGACAGGGCCTCTACCCTTGTTAGTATTGCTAGCATGTGTGGAAAACCAAACAGTGGCGGGTGGTCAGCTTTCATGCAGGAATGACGGGAATGGTGCAGAATGGTGGCAGTGGGCAGTGACATTGGGGCTTTTTACCGTTTGTGATGGGTGTCCAGTCGTGAGGTGGGACACGAAACATCTGCGGAGAATGAGGCAGTGTTTATTCAGGCCCAGAAATTTAAAGTAAAGCTAGGATATCCTTCTTTTAAGCCATATCAAATGTAACTTTTTACAGGACATGTACAATCTATTCATGCAAAATCTGTTATCCTTATTTAAATCCCATTTAAAGATGCAGTCCGTGATTTTTTTCCCGACGCATTTTTTTAAAATATTGTGGGAAAACATCTCTAAACCCTAAAAGTAGTGCAGTTATCATGTGTTTTCAAATAGTAATAGAATTGACCAGATGCCGATAGTCTCCAAAAATGAATAAAGAATATTTTGGAGCGGACCGATAAAAATAAACCAATGGGATGCGTTCATCCCCAACGAACCAATGGGATGCGTTTACCCCCTTCACCCTCTTCCCGTTTCTCGTGGGTGAGAGCTCCTGAGTTATCAGATTTTCTAAAATCTAAAAGGGCTGAACAGAAAATGCCAATTTCACAATTGCCACCCACTCTCCCTGTTGTGACAAAGAAAAGAAAATGCTGGATGTTTGGTTTGGTGGAGAGGCGAGGGGAGGGGGGAGTGGTTTCAGGTTGCTGCTACGGCAAAGCTAACAAAATCACTTACTGCACCTTTATAATGGTTGAATACTTTAAAACCCATTGAGATTCAAATATCTCTTTTCTAGGGGTGTCATAGCCAAAAGGTTTACAATACAGCTAATTAAACCAAATACACAACATATTAGCTGCACAATTAGGATTTTAATTAAGTAACTTTGGGGTAATTTTCCATTTTCAGGAACTTTTTTGGGGCCCAATGGATTCTCTCCTCCATGCTTGGTGCTCCGTTGGGCCCTGAACAGGTTAACCCGATGCTGATTGGCTAAAGCTAGCGCAGGCTCCGATGCCAGCAGAAAGCACCAAAACAACCAGCGTTTTAAAAATCCAGCAGCATTAGCCCAGCAGACACCACTCGAAACACTAAACAACAGCACGGCATTGATTCAGACGGGGTTTGAGGCATAGCGGCGAAATTAAAAGATATACTAAGACATATCAGCTTCACCTCGAAGCACTGGGGATTCATCACACTCCAGCCGTGAACAGAAAAACAAAAGCAGGACTATAAAAAAACTCAAAGACTACAACAACCAGAAATAAAAAAATTGATTTGGTGTAATGAGTTTAGCTTATGCGGCAATCAAAACTCATGACCTTGCCGAGTGGTCCTACTGCAGTGGCGACACAGACACTGAGAGGACCAAGGGAGAGGACGGTTCCTGTAAAAGTTACACCCCACTCCTTTTACCATGAACTCCTGCGGTGGAAACGCGGCTCATACAAACCAGTATATCTTGTTTATTTTCACGATAAAAGCGTGCATTTAAAGATGGAGCTATCTGGCTGCATGGGCGCTCAGTAGTTGAGGTGGCTTGGGCATCAGACTCACCAGAGGGCTGTTTCTCTCAAATTGGTTGACTTGAAATATTACCAAAGCAAATTGCGAGGGATAAAACAGATCTGTCCAAGATGGCATAGTTTAAGGATTTTAAGGAGCTCAAAAAACAAATGTTACAATATCCTTCCTTCAATCTTCCAATTCAAAATTCATCCCAACAAACACCATAACAACGGCCAAAAAGGAACCTGTCACGCTGTAAGATTTCAAACTATTTTCCCAGCCTACATTTTAATACAAGCAATGCCACAGCGTTGCCACTACCGCCCGGCTGCCCGCACTCTATTCTGGTCCGGACCAGAGCGCTGCATGGACCGCAGACTTCCACAAAGCCTTTCTCCCAGCTCCTATCCCGTGGGAGAAAGGATGGAGTGGAGGGTGGGTGGGATGGAGTTTGCCAGGGTGGGTGTAGGTGGAACTATCGCGCAGCTGCTTCGCTAAAGGACACCGAGGTCTCCGCAGCATAAATTTGGCTGATATCACCTCCATCAGTGGGCCATAAAGCTGATTTATTGTAAATACAGCTCTCGTGTGTTTACTGCGCACATTCTTTGGGCCCGGCAACATCTTTCAAAGTGAGCGTTTGCAGGTGCTCTGGCTCGGGCTGCCCAGCGGAGGGAAGGGGAGGAGGAGGGGAAGAGTTTTTAAAAGAAGGGAAAAAGAACAAGACCTGACCAGCTGTTCTGATTTCAGGTGGGGCGCAGTGACCCGCAGGAAGAAACGGAAGCTGCACCAGTGCGCCGTGCTCACACTGGAAGGTATGTATTTTATTGTAGGGTTGGCAAAAGTAAAGTAGATCATATTAACAAAACACTAAATATCAAACCATGGTATCCATACAGACATATTCCCCATATTGGTTGTGTTCATATTACAGAATTCTATTTCACTTAGAGGGCAGGTGCCATTACAAAACTGAGCGAGAAGATAGAAAAAAAGCTTCTATGCAAAATTAATAAGACCATAGTTGAGTTGTACTGAAAAAAGGAGATGTGTAACTTTGTGATAGTTTTCGTTACCTGTGGATTGTCCCAGGGTTTACACAGACTACATTAAAACAAAGAATCCTTCAGCCCCCCACAAGTTTAGGGAGGCACGGCCCAACTAATGATTCTTGTTTGCGACATTTTGTATTGGGGGTTGGCTGTCATATTGCCTGGTTGTACCACACCTTAGTACAAATTACATAATCAAAGGTCTGGAGGTGCCCCATTGAGCTCTGTGAACAGGTGGGAGGGGTTAACTCCTTTTGCAGATTGAAACGATTGGATATGAGTTTACTGTGACGTGTGCAGTGCGCCCGAGTCTGTTGTTAGAATTTAGCATTTAGCCTAGCCATCTCCTTTGCCGCTAATGGAGCCCGTGGGGAGTAGCGCCACAATCTTGACCAGCGATTACATTTTCTAAACATTTCTCTTGCTCCGGCTTCAATTTCTTGATAGAATCAGACCGGATTACTTTACTATTGCATTCTTCGCCATTGCCAAACTTCAACCTGCCCGTTCAGCGCAAAATCTTGACGTCACCGGCACCGACCTACAACACCCGCCTTCCGTGCTCTCTGAGTAGCCGGTCGAAATACGACCGATTGTATTCGCTAACACGGGGACCAGACCCAGACGTTACATGCAGTGAAATGATGACTGAGCGGAGTGTACGGATGGCTATGGCCAGGCTTGCTGTCATACTGATGGATGTGAAACTAGTACGGATGTGAAAAACACATCTACAATATTTAGATTTATTAGCAAGAAGATCAGAACCATTTTCACAGTAGACATTCAACCACCTGTCAAACCAGTTTTATCTAAAGTTATGTGCGCCGCATTGCACTGTTTCAAGCTGCTACTGTCAAAAATATAATAACCACCAACTAGGACGTTAGGATAAACAATGATTTGGGCGTTTATGCACTGTCCTGTGCATGGCAGGTGGCAGTGCAGTGAGGTGTCTCAGATCTGTCTCCAAAATGAAAACAAAGAGCAATGTTTTTTTGTGAAACTGGTGCTGTTCATGCGCTGCTTCCAAATCGCTTTAATACCTCCTTCTTTATCCTTCTGTGTTTATTGAATTTGGATGCAGCCATGTCCTCTCTTGAGTCGCGAGTGAACTCTGTGACAATGTGACAGATAAAGGTTTCAGATTATCCTCATGTCTGTGGTCTCTCTAACTATTTCACATCTCACAGAACAAAACCTCTTGTAGTCTGTAGCCAGCTTTAATTGATTTTCAAATCTGTAAAACAATATCAGAGTAGAAGCTTGTCTCACGCGTTCAGGAAGACGATTACAGATTTAACTACAGGTATTGGCTGCAATTCGCCACCGTTTGCCTGTTTCTGAACCTGTGAAAGTGAGTCTGCGAGAGTGTGCACCGCTTCTTCTTGCAAATGTGAAATGTCGAATGTGCAATGTTTTCCACTTATTAAAGAAACGCTGGAAGTAACAAATAACAGAAATCAAATGGTAAACTATGTAAGTCAATGTATTTACATGGTGGCTCAGCGATTGTAGCACTCGCCTCAGAGCAAGAAGGTCCTAGGTTAAACTCCCAGTCTGCGGAGGGCATTTTTGTGTGGTGTTTTTATGTTTCTCCCCCGTGTCTGGGTGGGTTTCCTCCAGGTGCACCAATAGGAAAGACCTCACTATCCAAAAACATACATCATCAGTAAGATCCTCCAGCTCCAGTCCTGACCAGTCCCTAGTGTTGCACTACGGCGACCGTTACTCACATTGGCAACAATTGGAAAGCGCTTTGTGACTCCCTACCTGTATAAAATAAAAACGATTACAAGTTAGGTAATTCTAGTGACATATCTTTTTCATTAGCATATTTCCATAACCAAATCAAAAATCTAATTCAACTTGTATGTGACAAAATTGAGCTCTCCACATTCACAATGTTTTAAATCAACTCCACCAAGCCTTGTTTTCTGTTCTGCACACGGGGCATGGGAACAACTTGTGTCTGGTGACGCAGTCTGGTTTAATCTTGTTTGTGAAATATGGGAAAATAAGCACTTCTCATGTTACCGTTCACATAATACCAGCTTCATCGAGCCACTTAATAGTTTGACTGGATTGAAGCAGATAGCATCTCCAGCAAACAGATTGGATCCAGATGAATAGAAGTGCTTGTTTGTTGTGGTGGTTCTCTAAAACCTTCATACTGCATTTATAATCCTGACCTGTAGGTAGGTCCTGTAGATCCAGAGTGTCATATTAATATTTCAGAAGACAGTCTAACCTGACATTGGCATTTCAAGCATCCTTCACTTGCCATGGGATAAATTGGCATCCACATTACAGCTCAAGGATCTATCGCCAGATGGTGAGTGCGAAGCCTGCTCTGGATTACCTATTGCTTACTTAAAAAACCCAGAGGAAGCTTTTCTTAACACAGGGATGAAATGCAACCAGAGACAGGCCACACCCAATGCGGGAAATGATCCCAGGACCCTCTGGCTGTGAGAGGAGCCTACAGAGCCCATAAGCTGCCTTTTACTATAGATTGAATACGTGTTAGTGTGAGGGTTATAATCCCTAATATTAGCCTGGTGAGGTATTCTCTGCTTGCATGCAGGGGTGGGATGCTGCCCCTAACCCTTTTTTAGAATCAGATGCACTCACAATTCCCTTTGTGGTCATATCTCTGAAGCTGTGCAGGGCAGGGCCTGGTTAGTATTGTGATGGGAGTACTAACTAACCTCTGGGAACACAAGTTGTCACAGTGGGGCGGCTGCGGCTGTAAAGTGCCAAACTGTCATTGTGTCCTTAGGCAAGACACTTCACCCACATTGACTAGAATGAGTCTGGTGTGTGTGTAAATGGTTGGTGGTGGTCAGAAGGACCGATCGCACATTGGTTGCCTCGCTTCTGTCAGTGTGCCCCAGGGCAGCTGTGGCTACAGCAGTAGTTTATCACCACTGTGTTTGGAGTGAAAGAATAATGACATGTGAAGCATCTTTGAGTGTCCAAAAAAGCGCTATATTTTATTATTGAGTTCAAATGGATTAAAATGACACATAATATGCAAAACTGACTCCATTTACACTAATCATGAACTTTTGGCACAAACATGTGACCCGCCCCTTCTGTCTTAAAGCTCCTGTCTCAAACTTGGAAGGCTATGATGCAATTGTACCACTATGATATCACGCTCAGAGCAGTTTTCTGCCCTTTTAAAACAGTTGTATGTTTGGGGAGTTTGTTTCAAAACCATTTGATGTCCCGTTACATCCATATCTCTGAGCAAAGACCTTCAGATCCTGCCGAGTCCTGCTCCTCACTCCGGTCCCAGTAACCCGCTGTTCTGCCGCTTCAAACACGTGAACTATTGCCCTTGCCGCAGTCATATGTTCCCTTTACAAGCTTTCTGAAGGTAGAGAAAATATGGAAGACGGAAAGTAACGGATTTCTTTCTCCCAGCGCCGCGGACCAGATGGGCTCGGGAACGTTTAACTGGGACATTACAAGCGAATGTTTCACTTTGATGGAAGCCTTTTAGTGGAGCTGTCAGCCTATGCATGTGCTCAATTCGGGCCTGCAACCATCCATCTTGATGCGGTCTCTTTTATTTGATAAACACTTCACGTCCGGGAGGGGGAGTACGCGGTAACTCGAGATGGCCGCGGCCTGGACAAGCACCTGCTCGGACCACGGAAAAGCGGTGAGCCGGAGGTATTTATTTGCGCCGTGCACTCGGAGTAGCGTGTAAACAAATAGCCACAAAGCTGGGTTGTGTTTGGGCTTTTTTTTGCACAGAGTGGAAAAAATTCAGCTCAATGAAACATGCATTTATCCCATGAGTTTTTTTGTCCTCGCGATCGCAACCACAGACTATCAAATAAATGAGGTAGCACTATTCGCTTTTCGACCATAAATGTGCATCAGGAGCAATGTAGCTAATCGTCTCTTCGCTCATTATTTTGGTACCATTCACAGTTATAGTCAAGAAGAACTTTATGTTTGTTTACTGTGTGGCCAATTAGACTGTGGGAAGGTGTGGGAGAAGATTGGCCAATATTTGGAATTGGAGAAAAACATTTTTAAGTTTGCAGGAAAAGTAAACTGTTGTATTTCAAAGATCTGTTGCTATCTTCGTGGTGACTAAGATTGTGTCAAAAAATGTCATATCTGTGGAGAGGTGATGCTTTCTCACTGTAATATCTGCTTCCCATGTTCAACCAAGAACTTCTGTTTTAACCCTTTGAAACATATTATAGTTATAGGCAAGATTTCAAGTCAAATATTTTAGCTTCTGCCTGCTTAGTGAAAATCTGTCAACATATTACTTTGCTCAAACATGTGTGAATTGCACTAAAGCAGCTGTGTAGCTGTGATTGTTTAAAGGAAAGAGGAATATAATATAGTAAACATCTGTGAAAAGTGAGTTCTGGTTTTTAAATGTATTTATTCATTTATTTGGACAGGACAATGTGTGTTAATGAACAGCAGTGCGGCAACACTCTAAAAACATATTAGTTGAAAAAAACAATTTAATGGGCTGAATGTATGTTGGCTGGATTGACTAATACATTTCTCAGAATTAACAATTTGTTTCGGTTGGCGCTATACACTAAAATAGAGTGGTTAAAAACACAATCATAGCATCTGCAATTCACAAGTTGAATTGATGTCTATTGTAGCGCCACCAATAGAAAGCTGTGTGGAGGGGACGGAATACCAGACTGAAATTGTTCGTAGAGTTGTTGGTAGGTGGAGGTGGTTGTGGGTTGGCAGCGACAGATTTTTAAGTATTTTGGAGATGTAGGGAAGGTTTGGAGAGGGACGGAGGTTGTTGAAGTTGGTTGGATCTCAGGGCCAGGTTTTTGAGAATGGGTGAGACTGAGGCGGTTTTGAATGAGAGGATAAAGGGTCAGTACCAGAAGTGGAGATGAGGAATGAAATTAGTGATGAGGGGGGGCAGCTAGGGGGAGGCAGGATTTGACCAGAACGGTAGGGAGGGGTCGAGCTGAGAGGTAGAAGGTTTGGATTTAATGATAAAGTCGGAGATGGCTTGGACGGAGGGCAAGATGAAGCTGGAGAATGTGGCTATGAGGGATGAGTAGGGGGCTGGTGGGTCCACTCCAGAGACTGCCGCTCCATG